CTAACTCCGCTTCATCTACATTAACAACAAGAAGCGACTTTAGCTGCCATCAGACTCAAGACCCTAAATCTTTGGAGTAAGAATAGTGTCCCTCATACAGGCATAATTGATAGAATTCACTCAAAAATTCCTATCCTACAAGCCAAATACAATAAGATTACTAAACAATTTGTTTTCGATAAGAAATACAAGATACAATTAAATGAAAACAGCCAGCCGGAAGGATTAAGCCCAAAAGAGCTTAGAGTTTTCACCGATGGTTCTAAAACAAATGAAGGTGTAGGTTCTGGAGCTTTCTCTGAAGACCTCAATATTCACATATGCACGCCGCTGGGTCCTATAACACGGTCTTTCAGGCGGAATGTATGGGTATCATTCAAGAGGCCATAGCAATAGATGCTAGGAAGGTTAATGACTTCCCCATCAAAATACTGACTGACAGTAGGGCGGTACTACAAGCTCTGAGTTGCAATGTGGTGAACTCGGGACTAATATATGAATGCCATCAACGATTAAATGAGGTATGTAAAAACAACAATGTGACTCTACAATGGATAAAGGGACACAGTGGATCCAGAGGCAACGATGCAGCAGACGAACTGGCCAGTAGAGGATCGGCTCTGGCCACTATAGGGCCGGAACCAATCATACCAATACCCTTTGGTAACGTTCGTTCACTGGTACGTAGACACTTCACTAATCAACACGCTCAGCTGTTGAGAAATCTAGTAGACAAGCTAGGGACGCCCTGCCTGAAATAAACAGTCGCTTAACCAAAGTTTTAATGAGACTGAACAAGCCGTAGATCAGGATAGTAACAAGTGCTATCACAGGACACGGCACCTTTAACAAACATTTATTTACTACAGGTGTTACAGATAGTCCCCTGTGCAGGGCATGTATGGGGAAGGAAGAAACGGCGGCCCACGTGCTACTGAAATGTCCGGAGGTCGCTACGTACAGGGCTAAACATCTCGGCACGCCGGGATCACGCCCCGAAGTTGCATGCAACATCTAGGGACTGTTGAGGTTCTTCGGGGAGATTTCATGGCTCAAATAATCACATTATTCCTGCCCACACGCAAAATACGCGCATAGACGTGGAGTTGCGGAAAAAAGCCCGTCGTAAACTAAACTAACTAAACTAGGGGAGTGCCCTGAAATTGGGGAGATACGACAAAGGGGTTATTTTTAGTGGTAAACGCGCAAACCTGTATCTTGTGAAGTTTAAACTGGACTAGAGTTATCCCCAATCCGAGATTTTGCTTATTAAAGACGCTCTAGACACAAGTTTTTTCTGATACTCGATGACGTGTTTCCGAGAAATATTAGCACGGCCGGTGTAAAAAGTGTCACCAGTGTTAAAACTAGTGACAGCGAAATATAATTGATATACAGAAGAAACAGTGTAGGTGATAATACGCAGCCTTGTGGAATACTAGCATTAATAGGCTCGTAGTGGTAGTACCTATGCACCGTCTACTAGGCCTTTGATACTCCGATCTGCAAGAAAAGTAATGATCCAATTACACAATTTCTCGGGAAGCCCATAGGAAGTAATCTCCTAAAGAAGCGCTTTATCCAAAGCCCATTGAATGCCTTCCCTGTGTCCAAAGTAATGGCCAAGGTCTCCCTCTTGGACTCTACTGCTTCCGCTTATATATGAGTCAGATAAATTAGAAGAATAAAGCTAGAACTAGCTGATTAGTGACCGCCAATGCGGTCAGTAATCAGCTGGTGGTCGTCAAGGTACCTTATGAGCTGGCAGTTTATATTGGATTCCATTATTTTGGAGAACAAGGAGGTGATAGTGATAAACCGGTAGTTGGTTAACGCTGCCTTTCATAAATTCAGGATTACGCCTAGGGAGTAAAAGTATCGGAAAACACGCGTTAGAACCGGTGCTAACTTCAGAGCACCCGTCTTCAGCACATTGGGAGGGACTCCATCAGGCCCATTCGACTTGTTGACGCTTAGGGAGAGGAATGTTTTACACAGCAGCGTTGTGTATGCCGCACATCCAGCATGGAGCAAACACAACGCGGGATGGTCGGCGGCATGTCATCAAGAGTCGAGTTGAACTCAAAAGGGAACTTAAAAGATTGACTTCTTTCTTTGCGACATGAGCCAGTGAGGCATTCGCCATGTGCAGAGATGGAACAGATGGCTGACAGAAATTTCCTTGGACAGCCTTGGCGAAACGCTTTAATAAAATTTGTGGTAAGAAGAAAGCTTGAATTTTTTTTAAATCTTTGAATCATGTCAAGTCAGTCTACGAAAGTCAGTTTACCAAATAATTCAGTCTTATTTTTACAATCTATTTTTTGTTGTGTACCAATAATAAAGAAAGGGCAACAAGTAAAATACTTGCAGCTCTTACTCTATTATTTATTGAGAATACCAATTTTTTTGTCTGTCTGTACATAAATTCTGCTTGCACGGGCAAGCTAAGCGCCCCTTCGAACCAAGCGCCCTAGTCTCCAGCCTAGTTAGCCTGTACGTAAATCAGTCCCTGCAGATCAGTAAGCTAAATTGTGAATAATGTGTCCTTCCCTTACCGGTATGTACCAAAGACTACATACCGGTAAGGGAAGTGTAGGGCGAAATACCCCTAAATGTAGTGATGACGAGTTTAAATGTATCAACATGTTTTTTGACTAGAAAGCGGTGAATGCGAAGAGCAAATTTTTTTTTATAATAGATTATTTATTACTTAATTACAAACTTTCTTTCGGTTGTTTTTCTACCAACAGTAGTAAGAGTGCTTTGTAGCACTCATGGATCCGGGGAATTGAAGTGTTTGACGTCCTTCATCTTAATTCGACCTACGAAGAAGGAGCCAATTGTATCTTACCGTTACATTCTATTATAGTGCACTGCTTAATAGGGGAGATATTTGCCATAGTTGCCACGCTTGGCAAGCGGTTTGGCAACCGCAGTTTTTTTTTTATATTAGGAAGACGCTCCTGTCCATCTCCTGATTTGTTTTCCTCTGTCGCCTCTTACGACACCCGCGGAATGATATGGGTATAATGAATATTCTTATACCGCCACTACATACACGATACGACTAACTTATTATTTTGCAGTGGTGTGGTGGGTTTGGATTATATCGTTATTTAATTATGTTAGAGATATATGCTATTAGTTCCGTTTTTTATAAAGTAAGTGGGCGCTAATTCCTAAACAATGGTGGAAAATTATTCGTGTGATGGTCTCGAGACGCAGCACTCACGGGATCAACCCGCCTATCGCGCCTACCCAGCGTTATATTGCTCTGAGGTTATAAATATACGGACAACTTTTTTAATAAATGCATGCCAGAAAAACTGAATAACTAAAAGTGATTAAGTTTCTTTAAGGTAAAATTGTGTTGCAATCATAAATTTAGTTATTAGATTTATATGGTTATATCGGTATAACATAATTAGTTGAGCTTGACGAGGGAATGTTCAGAGGTTATCTGTGTAAAATAACAGTATATCACTGTTATGTTTTTATTTTTTATTTTATAGGATGAGGGTGATAAACAAGCGCACAGTCCAGCCGATGGTGTGTGAGGCTGCTGTGGCACGTAGACCCCACAGATCCTTGATTACGAATCAAAATGCATATGCGTTGTCATCCGTGAGGACTAAGATGGAATGCCTTGTGATTAGAACCGGAGGTCCTTTTTTCCGGAAACAAGTTCATGAAAAAAGGACCTCCGGTTCTAATCACTCACCTTACGAAACACATCATCATTAAGCTACTATTTTACGCTGGTATTCTGTGAGAGCGTGGTTCCTTCCCGGTCGAGCCGAGCCATTCGTGCTACAACTATACCAGTTATATATAGCTGCAGCATGGCTCTACCACTTAGTAAAAGTGTGTATTTTAATTGTTAATTGTTAATTTTAATAAATAATTATAATGATCTCAACTGATTCAACAAAAGAGGTTTAATATTTTGTTTTATTTTTGCTCTGGTTTGCAACGCTTATCCCCTAGCTACCACGTCTCCTATAATAAGAATAATATTAATAATAAATAATTAGATTGTGACATTAAGTATTCAAATTAAACTCAAATACTAATATTAAAGTTTATTACCTTAGTAGTAAGTATTTCTTAATTAAACTTTTTATATAGAAATAAGGGTCAGAAACGAGCACACACCAATCTAATGTTAAATTTTTTTGGTGACGATTATGTGGATGTGGTGGTTCTCTACACTTACCTTAAGAAACACAGTAGCATTATGCTGCTATGTTATACTGACGACTCATTCGTGCTGCAGCCTTACAGCTGTACAGCTGCCACGTTTAGTATAGTTAGGTACTCATTTCGCAATGTAGACGTTCAGTAAGAACGTATTTTACGATAGTTCGATTAAAAAAAAAACTTTTCTTGATGATCTGATGAAGCGATCGGTTATCAGCTAGTATTTAAATAAATTCGACGCGTAACTTCGCGTAAAATATTACCTTCAACATAATAATATTATGTAAACAAAACACGTTGCGCTTCATTCATTGCTTGCGTTTCGATGAATGAGTCGCTAAACTGATGTCGCCATATGAGGGGCTTTGTTAGCGGCAGCTGCATTCGAACAGCAAAACTTGTACCTGGGCAGGTAACAGAAGCAACAGGTCATTTCTGTATTAAGGGAGTTGCCGGGAACTCGATTTGAAATTTGAATGCGCCACTGATCGATTCAACATCATTTCGTCTCGCTTCATCTCGCTTTATCTCGCCTTGCCTCGTCTCGCCTCTACTCGCTCAACATCGACAATCGACATCGTCGTCGTCACTCGTCAGTCGTCATCGTTATCGTATTCGTATCGTCATTCGTCACCGTCACCGTCAGTTGCGTGCTGAGTTTCGGCGTGAGTGCACGTCGCGTCGCGCTATCATTTCTCCGAGACTTTCACGCGCTCGATTATATTGCGACGTCGAGTTATGTGCGCGAACACACAATCGGGTAACTTAATTGAAGTTCAAAATTTCTGACAGTGCAAATGTCTCCTAGTTTAGAAGGCGTCATGTTTAACAGGAACGCTAGCGCGAACCTGTCGGCGCGACGGCCGTTGCTCGCCGAACCGCAAAAGCCAGTTGTGGTGCCTCCACGAGCGCCACCACGCGATTTTGGTCCACAACGGCCCTTGCCCGCGCCTAGAAATTTACCAAATGATTATTATGAATACCGACCAGACTACTGGAAACCATCGAATGTCGAACTTGAAAAACGACTGCAAGAGACGAGAGCGCGAGAAAAAGTCGGTTACTTTCAGGACAAGGTAACAACACCCGAGCTGAGCTTGGACCGCAGAGAAGCGGAACTTGTTTTCAGATTCGATCCTCACGCATCGGCTGAATATCTATCGAGTCAGTACCGTGCACCAACAGTGCATTACACGAAGCCTCCGACACCGGTGAATGGGTTCGCTAACCGTTTACCAGACAGAGACGGCCCGTTTGTGTTCGGTATACATAGCCCTAGCCAATTTCCCATTCCCCGTCGGGATGAAGATGACTATGATTATTCCGAAGTAGCGGAAGAAAATGGTCATACTGTGATACGAGACGATGTTTCGGAAGATTTGAACTGCTGTGATAAAGTGAATGATTGGGCGGTGCGCGATAAGAAAAGTAGGAGGACTTTGAATCGAATGTTTCAAATAAGAGACAGAAGGAAAGTGAAATGTGGGAATAAAGAGAAGATTAAGTGTGTGTTGGTCGGTGACGGAGCGGTGGGAAAGAGTTCATTAATTGCAGCTTATGCTCAGGACACATTTCGAGAGGAATACCAGCCCACTGCGTACGACACATTTAATGGTAAGATTTTTCTGTACTTTTATTTTTCAATTTGATACTAACATACTGTCTGATGCTACAAAGCGGCTATAATTTCGCAGATAATACACCTGGCGATGACAGTAGAAATAAATAGTTTGCATTAAAATCTAAAATGACTTATCATAAACGCCTCTAATGTGTCACGATATTACCGTGATTAGTGATTACTTGTAACGTTTGTACTCAGAATGATAACATTCATTAGTGATGACCGAAGACCGATTGTTATCAATGGCGCCATAAAATATAAAGATAATAAATAAATAATTTTACAAGAAATAATTTGGTAAATATATCAGATAAGATGATAAAACAATAAATAAATGTAATTACCATTCAGAAAACATAAGGAATTTTAAACTAACACCGTTATAACTAAATGATTTTAAATATGCAAATATGCAAGAGGTCTTAAAAGCGATGTAAAGCTTCTTACAGGTATAATAAAGAAGTTAAATGTTTATATAATAACTACGGCACGGGCCCTGGGTTAAAACCCTAAGGTCTAGGGCATTAATTAGGCACCCTTACCTATATACCTTGTAATACGTCTTGCATAGGTAGTTGATAGTCCGATACTATAAGTTTTAAAACAATAATAAGAAAAGAAGCCTTCTGGTTAACAACATGAATCCTACTTCCGTACTTAGCAGCTTAATGCTGCTGTTTCGCATGGTGAGTGTAGAAAACCGGAGACCCTTTTTTACTGAAAACGGGGCATTATCTTATAGCTATATCTTAGTCCTCAGGGGTGTCAAAGAAACTGTATTTTGATTCTTAATCGAGGATAAAATAAATGTAGATGTCTATGGGGCACAGCATCCACTTACCATCAGGTGGACTGTGTGCTCGATTGTCGCCCTTATTCTATTTAAAAAAAACCACCAACTGTTCAAAAGTTGGCGCGGTGATTAGTAGAACATTATTTATACGTATATATATTTTTAAAAAAACTTTTGTGTTTATTATTGACACCGTTTTTAAATAAAAATAAAACAATAGTCGTAACGTATAATATTTAAACTTGCACTAAGTAACCGCTCGAAGTCATCGACACCTTCGAACATTTTATGTGGCCTTATCAACAAGAGAAACTTGTTTTAAACGTACGCAACAATAACTTCGCCGTCGGTTTCTTATATAAAATTCTCCGTACGCTTTCTCGTTTCAATTTATAACGTCCAGACAAAAGCTTATATTTATTGCTTTACATTTTAAGTGTATCAGTATTTTATCAATCTTGAGCGAAAGTAAAAGAGTTTTTTAAATTTATAAATAGCGATTGCAAATTTAATTACCAATTTCGTTTTTATTATGAACAACATTTTTAATATTTCGTACCAGTACATTAAGCACATCTGGACCCAGCATTGATTCGAACTAAGGGTTTCATTATCCTACAACGACATGAAACTGTATACAACGAAACCGGATTATATTGGAGCAATTGAACTAATGAGCAAAGCAACTCCTACGTAGTAGCAGGTTCCGAATTTGAAATTTGAATACAGGCTGGCAATAGGTAACTGCGAAAACATAAATGACTGGTTTTTCGGTTTGGATGTACAAGTATTGTGATATTTTAAACGTTACATCAAATACCGGTAGGACAGGTGGTAGTTTTGTATTTAGAGACGCCAAAAATGTTCAATATCGATAAATGTCTATGTTGTACATATATCGAAAGTAATAATAATTATAGAATAGAATGCCATAATTTTTTCATACAAGCACTTTTTTGGATAAAAGAAGAAGGCAGAGATATATTATCTTTTTTAAGAAAACATAGACATTGACGATGAGTAATTTTTCAGTCAACTTCGGTTACGTGAATTTTAGATATGATATTCGTAATATCAATATTGTTGCATCGTATTGGTCATGTAATATGTACATGTGAGTTATACTAATATTACATTGAAATTTAGTTCTCAATCAAATCGACACTATCGACATTTCGATATGTCGTCCAACCCTATTTGTATTTGTTTGTGCGTGCATAATAAACATTAACACAAAGGCACATCACCAGCAAGAGGAGAACTTTTGAATTTGCTTCCTCTAACGGCACAGAAAAGAATACAAGTACTATAAGTAATATTGCAGTCGACAAACTATTAACTTATTTTAAATGGCAGTATTTAAAATCACCTAGCAGAACTTCGTCTATTGATTAAAGTGTAAAAAAGATTTACTCAGATGGCACTTTTACTAAAAAACGCAGTACATAAGACAATCTTTACGCCGTCTTTCACGCTAATGTAAAATAATTTATAATTCATTAAGAAATAATAATGCCCTTCAGAAATCCAAACTGAATTTCGGTTACGGCTCACAGGTGTGCATGTAAGCATAGGTGCACTCTCTGTTCCCTCACTCCCATAGTCTGATAGGACGGTAATCCGGTACGACTAGACAGATATCAGGCGCAAGACCAACGTCTTTACGTGCTTTTCAAGGCACGGGAATGAAACATCGCTATCCTGACATAGAAATGTTTGCCATGAAACTACTACACACTGATCAGCATTACGACGATTAGGCCAACGAGGCAGTTGAATAAATAATATACCTTAGAAGAATAAAAATAAAATTTCATTACATGAATATAGAACAACTAAATATAAACCTTTACTAAAGTAAATTTTGATTGAAGACCATCAAAACAATTACGAGATTTAAATTATTAACTGTTATAATATTTATTTATTTGAATTGCTTCTATTTTTGAAATGAGAGAAGCGAAAAGTGAGCGTTGCTCTCATGACTGCTTTAGCGCGTAATTACTTCTGAAGCCATTTTATTCTAATAGAGCGAGTAGTAAACCATTCAACATTGGATTGACTTACCTCACCTTACAGTATATCGTATACTAGTTGGCCAGGCAGACTTTGTTCTGCCCTCTTTGACGACCCTGTTTCGTAATAAAAAATATTGAGGGTCACATAAAGGGATAAAAACTATCCTATCTCTCAAGTTGGACCAAACTGCACACAGTGTGCAAAATTTTATTGAAATCAGTTCAGTAGTTTAGGAGTCCATCGCGGACAAACAACGTGACACGTAATTTTTATATATAAAGATTTGTATCGGTTAGTATTTCTTTTGTAATTCTAAACTTTTCGACATCAATGTTTTTAAAAATCTAATGAACAGCTCTATTGATATGAATCGTTAATTTAGGTATAATATTATTTATTATTGATAGTAACTTAAATTGAGAGGATAGTATATTTCCATTATGGAAAAAACAGTGTAATACGTGAACGAAATAGAGGCCTATGGTATAAATATATTGTTAATTAATTTTATTTAAAAATAAAATTTTAATTTTGTTAGAATAAAAAAGCAACAAAAAAAAATCAAATATTGTGCACCCTACTTTACTCCAGGCAAGATTTATGAATTTGTAAGGCCCTTGACCTTAAACAGATCGCTAGGCACTATTATTTATTCTGCGTCGTTGATTTATATGTCAATTCAGTAAATTTAGAGCTCATATCATCATCATCATTACAGCCCTTCACAAGTCCACTGCTGAACATAGGCCTCCCCCAAAGAATGCCACAAAGCACGGTCCTGAGCCACCTGCATCCATCGACTTCCTGCATATCTTACCAGGTCGTCACTCCATCTAGTGGGGGGACGCCCCACACTTCGCCTGCCGGCACGAGGCTGCCACTCGAGAACCTTTCTTCCCCATCGGTTGTCGGTTCTTCGAGCTATATGGCCGGCCCATTGCCACTTCAGTTTACTAATCCGTTGGGCTATGTCGGTCACTCTAGTTCTACTGCGGATATCCTCATTTCTGAGTTTATCACGCAGAGAAACTCCGAGCATAGCCCTCTCCATAGCTCGCTGAGCGACCTTGAGCTTCCTCATCCGGCCAGCAGTGAAGGACCACGTCTCAGTTCCGTATGTCATCACTGGCAACACGCACTGGGTGTACAGTCTCGTTTTCAAGTTTTGAGGTATACCTGACGAGAAGATGTGCCGTAATTTCCCGAACGCTGCCCAACCGAGTTGAATCCGTCGATTGACCTCTCGGTCGAAGTTGGACTTACCTAGTCGGACTATTTGTCCCAGGTAAACATACTCGTCAACAACTTCGAGCTTAGTGTTCCCAACAACTACCGGCATAGGTGTGACATGGACATTAAACATGATCTTTGTTTTGTCCATGTTCATCTTAAGACCTATCCGTTGGGAAACACTATTGAGGTCATTGAGCATAGTGCTTAGGTCCTCCAGCGATTCTGCCATAAGGACTATATCGTCGGCAAATCGAAGGTGAGTGATGTACTCGCCATTGATGTTGATACCGTATCCTTTCCAGTCCAGAAGCTTGAAAACATCTTCCAATGCAGCGGTAAAGAGTTTCGGGGATATGACGTCACCCTGTCTTACACCTCTCTGCAATTGGATAGGTTTCGTACTCTGGTTCTGTACTCGGATAGCCATCGTAGCCCTACTGTACAAGCACTTCAACACCTCGATATACCGACAGTCAACTTGGCATCGCTGAAGGGACTGCAGCACCGCCCAAATTTCGACGGAATCAAAGGCTTTCTCATAGTCCACATACGCCAGACATAGTGGCAAATTGTACTCCTCGGACTTCTGTACAATTTGCCGAAGGGTATGTATGTGGTCTATGGTGCTAAAGCCTTTTCGGAAACCGGCTTGTTCGGGAGGCTGGAAGTCGTCAAGTCTGCGCGCGAGACGATTCGTAATGACTCTCGAAAACAGCACGTAGACGCGGCTCAGAAGGGAAATCGGTCTGTAGTTCTTCAAGAGAGCGTTGTCGCCTTTCTTGAAGAACAAGACCACCGCACTTCTGCTCCACGCCTCCGGTGTAATGCCACCATGGAGGACGGAATTAAAGAGCTTCTGAAGGACTTCAAGTACCGGTTTTCCACCCGCTTTCAGAAGCTCCGCTGTAATTCCATCCTCGCCTGGGGCCTTGCCGTTTTTAAGGT